AAGGAAATTTTTCGTCAGTGTAATGTTGTTTTGATCAAAATTTTATACCATAATTTTAACTAGTGTTATAGTTTCAATGTTTTTATGATCATGGAAGGGTCAGAAAAAAACTAAGTTTCTAGGATGCACGAACAGCGATAAAAAACAAACTACGTGCCAAATCCATTCACCAAAGACACATGTTGAGTGCGAATGCAGGCAACCCCCGGGAGGGGGGTACTTGCAAAAATACTGACAGAGGTGTGTAGCTGGTTGTTTGAAACACCTACACATGTATCTCTTATCAGAAAGAAATAAACTCAAATTGCCTACCCCTTTTTAGACAAACTGTGGATATTTGACATCCCTTTCCAGATAGTACGCATAAATGGTAAATGGTAAATAGCGAATCAGAGGATTTATATCCGTTTCAGGTTTATTTATTCCGGGAAATGGGGGTGGGTGGTCAGCTATTTTTATTTACCTAGATGGACTCCCGGGGATATAAAAAAAGTTGACGACCGAAATGAAGTTACAGAAAGAAAAAATCAGCTTAATTTTCCTGATTTTTGGATCACTCAAGCTCTAGAGACAGTCTTTGGAAAATATGGTCCTTTTTTCAGACAGAAATAATGACAAAAAGATACACAGACAGGGTAAAATAACATACCCCTTTTCAGACAAAAGTGGTAAATTTGGGACCCCTTTTGGCGGCACATATACATATAGCACTTTAATGTGAGTAACCCCCCTCCCCGGGAGGCAACCTTACCAAATGCACCGGTCTCCAATCGAAAAAAACAACAGCAGAGTCTGCCAAGCTTCTGATGAAATGGAAGCAGATTATACAAAAGAAAGAACGATTTATAGCAGTAAAACGAATGTTTAGTAATGGAAACTTCGTCGCATCTAGTGATACAAATGAAAAGCTCCCGTTTCACAATACAATATGAAGAATGGAAAAAGGGAAAAATAAATTTGTAATTTTCCACGTTTTGAATTTATTTCAATAGTTCCCCAAAAGTGGATCACTTGCAATAATGCAACATTTAGATTTTGATTTCTCATTGTAATTTTGCAAGTCAACTGTTTGATAAAATGCACAGGCTCCTTTGTTTACATACATATCAAAGCTTGATATAAATAATATGAATGTGAACAAA